TATTTATAAATATAATTCGTTTCTAAAGTATCGAAATTGGAGATGACTTTTTGTGGATGCAAGAGAGGGTGGTGTACTAAGCAATCCTTATGGTTAAAATTGCTGTAGGGTTTTTCTCTCTGAGAAAGAAAATGCTTGTTAGGTACATGTTATCTGAAAGAAATGTTGCCAAATCATTCTCACACCTAAACTTTCTCCACATAAAGAAATGTAACTCTCAGCATTTGCCAAGATGATATTCAAGGTTGTCTGTATACATTAAAAATAATAAATACATATCAATATTTCATGATATCTGCAGTCTTAGTAGCAGTTTTGTAAAGTATATGACAAGCCACAAATGGTTTCTTCCTTCTTTTAGAGCAACCAGGCACAACTATTTAGAGCATTTTTGGTTTTCAATCCAAGGTCTAGCATTTTTTAGCTCAGCTGACATTAAGAATAGATAGTACAGTTGTCAATATGCACTAAATTTGGGGGCTATTTAAAGATTGCCATGAGAACGTGTTGTGAATATATTAAGCTTTAGCCCTTAAATGCAAATGTCTATTAGCAGGGAAAATTCTAAAGGGTATCTATTTTTTCTTTGGCTTAAAACATTCCTGTGAATAGAAGAATATTCTTATTGTAGCAGATGACATTTTGATTTGTATTTGTCTTGCTTCAGTAGCTTCCTTTGTATTTATTTTGGCTTTGTGATTTCAAAAGTGGGGAGAGCTTTAATGCGTCCCCTCTCTCCATGATGATACTTGGCAATGCTGAGAAGTCAGATTGTGATTGTATTAATTACCTTCATTATTTATAAAGTCAATGTCCTACTTTAACATTGATTAAAAATAAGCAACATAATTTTTAAAAAAATCTTCCTGAATGACATTTCTTTTTATCTTCAAACTTTATACAGTGTATGCATGTGTGTACATATAAATGAATATTATATGAGTATTAGCATATCTTTTCTCTTAAATTCTTTGTCTATTGTTTTCTAGTTTCTAATTTCTATGAATTTGTGGGTGAAAGTAAAATTGGTATGTTGCAAAATGTGTTCTCTTTTCATCTTGTTAAGCCAGATACAGATTATAATATTTCTAATTTGATTGTTTATTTCAGATATGATTATTTCACCTCCCTGATTAAACTTGCAGTTAACTTTTCAAGGGTTTTATTCTGAGACTAATACCCTTAGCCAGTCATACAAGACTGACCACCGTACATCTGCAGTCTCATTTCATACCATGCTGAGCTTTGCCATGTGTATTTCATCTCTTTAGTCTTCTTTCTGTTCATGCCACCCAAGACCAAGAACATACCATGAGCACCTAAGCCACAGGGCCTTTGCGTATTCTATTTGCTATGCCCAGAGGTGATTGTTAAAATATTTAACCAGCAGTAGGGCATGCATACTGATCAATCCAAAGTGACATGGACTAGAGCGGGATTCTGGAAGCCCTCTGCTGAGCTTTTTGCTTGGCTCCGGAGAGGTGTGGTGGGGTCCTGGGACAGCATGGAGATAAGTAGTAGTTGATGGGGAAGTAGTGTCTAGACATTAGCTACTCACAAGCCTATCTGCCACCTCATAAATCCACACCAAGTACTTGTCTACACTAGGGACATTTCTTCCTTCCCTCACTCTGCAGCACATACACACACCTCATTATGTCATCTCTTCTTTTCTTCCTCTGTACCCCACTTCCTCAGAGAAGTTTTCCCTAACCTTCCTGATGAGGAATGCTTTCATTTAGGCTTTCTTAGAAACATCTACCCCTCCACTGTACCTTCCACGTGGGCAATTTATAAATACCCCGCACTCATTTAAACAAGGTGTCACTCACAATAGTTGATGCACTCCATGAGTATGGGGATGATCAGTCTCCTGACAATCCCATCATCACCTCCACTTCCCTCTAAAATTGTAATCCCAGCACCTGAGAGGTACTCAATAAATTTTTATTGAATGAATGAGTTTTCAGAAATAATTTAGAGCCTCTTGGAACACATTTATATGTTTTAAATATAACCAATGTACATGTTATCGTGGGAATGGATTGTTGGCAAGATAACGTTTTTTGAAAACAATCACCTTCTTGTATGCCTTCTTATACACTTTCCTGAAGTAATTTTCAAATGGTGGCCAGATCCCAGGCTGTAACTTATCCTTTAGTTCCAGTAGAAATGCTTTTCATTCACTTGATGTCCAGTGCAAAGATTTAATCTCCCAAGTGACTCATTCATTGTTCTTAAAGCTCAGCAAGAAACATTGCTTGAAAGCCTCCTGTGAAAGGGTATTTGGAACATTAGAGAAACCAGTGATGGGTAAATGGTGGTTCTACCTTCAGAGTTTTATCAATCAATCTAGTAATTTACTCCTTATCTTATTTATAAGAGTTCATAATATTCTGTTTTCCCATTACAGTATTAGGACACAGACCATGTATTTTTTTTCCAAATGACATAGGGCAGAGCTTCATATATTTACTTGAATAGTTTTTGATATTAAAGATGAGGATGATAATGGCAAGGTTACTGCACAATTCTTTGCTAGAGTTTCCCCTTCCTTTCCTGAAATTCCCAACTACCTGTTCTTTTTAAGTCTGTTATTCTGTTATTGCTGAATTCTTTCTAAGTTAGATTTTGTGTATGTACTGGATAGCTATAACTTCTTTGAGGAAGGAAGTACCAGTTCAATCAACGTACTCCTCAAGACTTTGCAGTGGTCGAGTCTTACCCATTGTCCCTAGACTTAAGTGCATGTTACTATCATTTCCTAGTTTCTCATGAGTCTTAGACATATATATGTATCAAATTAACATATCTCATGTTTCACATGCCTTTTATGACTAGTTAGCATTGCATTTTATTTGATAATTAAAAATATTAATTGGTTTTCCAGTCTGTCTGTCTATATGTATATGCATGTTTGTGTGTGTTTCATCTTTCTCCTGATATTTGGACCACAGTTTCCTCAAATGCATGATTAGAAAAAAAACTATGGCTGTCAGTTATAAATTAAATCTAATCTAGAATGATTTATGTTATCATTTAAATTAGTAATTGAAACTAATTATGGACACAGGATATGTCATTGATTGAGCAGAAGAAGGAGGAAGGCAAGATATCTGAGACCCTTTGGTCCAAGCAGGGAAAATCAACCACTGGAAAGGCTTGAGCAGTATAATGATTGATTGAGGTGGAATGTGTATTTCTCCCTCGTATATTTAAATTACTCAATAATTTTGGCCATCAATCACCTGGGACCTGATGCTGTTAAAAATAACTTCAAAAAGCCTGTTTTCTATGCACAGTGTAGCAGACACTACATGTGCCCTACTCATCCTCTTGCCTTCATCACTTCAGTGCACACACCACTTTTAATAGCTAGTATATTCATTTCTTTCCTTTTTCTTTTTTTCACCTCTGTAGTTATGTACTACCCTAGTAGGAGGTTACAAGTACTGGGCAGTTACTACTGTCATGGGAATTGGTGTGTAAATACCCCAGCTGCCTTGCCCCTTTGCAAGAATAACTCAGAGATGACTCTTGGATGACTCTTAGGCCTGGGTTCTATAGGAACTGGACTTCCAGTCATCCATGGTGTTAGTAGGCTTTATATTTCACCCTTTTTAGGCTGTCTTCCTTTTCCTGTCTTACTTCCCCATCTTGACTGTTTTTGTCCTTCACTTCCCAAGTAAATTACTTGCACTTGAATTCATTTTGTCTTATTTGTGTTGTGGAACCCAAACTGAGACATGCAGTTTGCAGCAGTGGGGATATTGAGTGAAGGTTAAAGATCAATGGTACTATTGTAAGTTGTTAACCTGCAATTCTTAGAACAGTAGTTCTCAATTGTATTTGCACTTGTTTCAGATTCCAGTGGACCTAGAGACAGGGATGCCTAGGCATTCTAGCCACAATTCCATCTCTTACATCCTACCTAAGAATATGTATTAGATTGCAGGCACCCAAGAGCATTATTATAGGAATGATGACTTAACATATTATTTTAAGTACATATTTTTCAAGTTGTCGTATTTTTATTATTTGATTTCTTATTATTTGGGATGTACATAATATCTGATTGCATACGCCACATGTCAGGAACCCATTGTTGGGAACCACTGTCTACAGGAGGCTGAGTTCTCTCTTTGGGTCAGTGACTACTAAAACAGCTCAATCAGTAGCAGCTGCTGAATTGGAGAGTTGTACCTGTTCCTCACTAAAGTAGCAAACTTTAAAATCATTAATTCCGTGTGTGGTACCAACTGAATTTTAGGAGTCCAGAGATTCAGGTGTGTGTATCACATGTACTTGATCATTAACCATGCAGCTTGACTAGTTTTAAGTGGCCGCTCAAAATGACACAAGACTTTCACATAATTATTTCCTCTCAACCAATATATTCAAGTTTATGAAAATTAAAGAAAGCAAAAAAGAAAATGGTTTCGTTTGCAAGGTTTTCAGACTGAACATTTTCTACCGTTAGCATTTTAAAACCTGTTTTACACAGCATATGCAATTGGGAACTTTCTGCAGTTGTCTAAAAAAATAGGTCTGAGATGGACATTGATAATGCTACCTATAATTTGCATGCTTTATTCGGAATTCAGAAACTGCAAAAATTAGTGCTTCAAGATATCTGCTGATTTGACTCTGTTAGTTTTGCCAGAATGCTATCGTTAGAGAAAATTGAGTAAGTTAGAATTTTAGGTTAATGTTTTCTTTCTTGAAATTATCTGGCAAAAGTTTTAATAATATATTAAAATTTAATATTTTAGTATTGGTAAACATTTCAAATTCTATAAGATCGTTTCCATCTACCTATGAGTTACATGTTTTTTAAGTACCTACATTTCAAGCATCCTCTATTTCATATCAAAGCAGATTTGTTTTATCTGAGGGTTTTCAGTGTCTCCAAATGATAAAGAGTTTTTACGAAAAGAGCAAAATTGCTTTTTTAAAGCAGCTTTCTTAAAAACTATCTTCTTTGTACATATATTTTACAGATTAAAGGATTTACCTGAAGACAAAGCATTCTATTCATCAGAGACTGGACAAGAGTTACTCTTGCATTTGGCAATTAAAGATGATGTTTCCATGGAAACAGTTGATCCTGCTTTCATTCATTGGCTGCTTAGGAGGTAAAAAAAATCCTATATTTTCTAAGTTGAGGTTAGAAGTATACTCGAGTCATATGCTTGCATAATTTTCAGGTGTTGAAATAAAACTCCACCAATAGCAAAGAAAAACAAATGCTTTTCCCCCCAAAAGGAAAATTTAAATTCTCTGATCTGATAATTGAGTTCTTATTCCTTCCCTTATTTTTGTAAGCCATTTTTATTTCCATAGCAAATATAATGACATCTGATAATACAGATCTACTGTATATTATGCTTTGGAATTATGAATATAACATCAAATTTGAGCATGTTAATTTGTGACTTTTTTTTCCAAAGGAACTTAAAGAGGCGAGATCTCACATATAAAGGAGCATATAAATTTAAAAAGCGCTGGTATTTTCATATGTTTTACTTTTAGCAAATAACTTATCTAAAGGACCAAAACTGAATATAGATATAATTTTCTTTTTTAATTTTGGAAAATTTGAAATTTAGAACAAAGTAGAAAGAAAAAATGAAAAAAATTCTCATCTTTGACACATACAAAACAACTATTACAAATCATTTGTTGTATTTTATTTTGTTAATTTTATTTTACTTTCTGGAGAAACAAGTAAGTGAAAAGTCTTTTAAAAATAGTGTATATACAACTAACTTTTTGTTTATTTTATTTTGTTTTCCCTCTTTTTATGATATTCTCAAGCACCAAAAAAGCTGAAACAATAATAGAATGAATGAATACATCTGTAGGTATCGTTGAGATGTAGTTACTGTACCATTTTACTGTATTTCTTCTGTATATATGTCTATGAATGTGTGTTTTTTCCTTTTTTAAAAATCTGTCTCCTTATTTTGATTAAGCCATTTGAAAATAAGTTGTAAAAATCATCACTCCTAAAATTCAGTACTCATCTCCTTAGAAGACCACTTTTCTACATAAACATGATTTCTTCATGATACCTAAGGAACCTAACAAAAAAGTAGCTCGAGACTTTTCTAAAAGAAGAAAATGAGTGCGGAATGAGGCCAAATGGAGTAGTCAGCTAAAACCATGTTATTTAAAGACATGAATAGATTGCAGTAGACATTTGGGCTCTTATGTCAAAGTTCAAACATGCTTCAAATATTTACATGATAATATATAGCAAAGATCCGTAGTCAATAACAGTTACAGATTAAAATCTTTAACTTTTAAAAGAAAGATGTTTTTTATAGTTTTTATAGATTTGTACTGTGATGCCTTAATTTTGTTTCTAAAACATTTTCATTGACTGCTACTTATCTAGCGCTGAGGACAAAAGGAATAGTTGTTTAAAAATTTCTGACTTTCAAATGGGCTTTGGAAAAAGTTCAATATAGTAAAATATTTTATTCTTGGAATCTTTTCTTCATTTATAAAGTTTCAAATATAATCTCTGTTTTAGGAAAAGGAACAAAAGTGACAGAAAATATACTGCAGCAGTATTACTGTTTATGATACTAAATTTTGTAAAAGCAATCTTGAAATTTTACAAATAGTTGAGACATTCACAGAAAGACATACTCAGAAGGAGGAAGACATACTCAGAAAGTAGAAAGTAGCAAAAGAAAATGAGATCAGCTTTTAAAAGGTTTCACATTTTTAGTTGTAATTTTCCATTATGTGCAAATTGTATTGTGTTTCAGCATTTTTGAGAAATGTTTTACATGTTTATGAACAAATATATAGAAAAAGCAGTGTCCCCTTTAGTAAGATGTGAAGACATCATAAAGAATTTAAAGGTCAACTTATTCTCTAGATATGGTGGTAAAAAAGTTATAAGGATTTGTAAGGGAGAATTGGATTTACATGTGGCAAATTTATGTAATTATATATATTTGCACATATATGTACATATGTTTCTGTGTGTGTAATTATACAAGTAATTATATGTAATGTATTGACCCCTGAACTACATATTTGCCTCTTTAGGGAGTTAGAAAGGCAATGGAGGCCTATGTCCATATAAATACACACTTAAGCCTATTATAATTGAGACTACAGATCATACTATATGAGATAATTTAGATTACCTTCATGAAATCATTTTTAAAAAATTATCAGTACTATAATGAAGGATAAAATACATGGTCACCAAACAGGAACATTGGCTTACTTTAATATTGTAGATTTAGTCATGGACAACACATGTCCACAAAATTCACATATTTGGGCTGCTTGTTTTCACAGTGATAGTTGCAATGTATGCAAATACAGCCCAAGACTACTGACACACATCTTCAAATGCTTTCAATTGTAGCATTCATCTGTTCTATGTCATGCAAATGTGAATGAATTTTTGTGCTAGTCTTCCCTTAATAGTGATTAAGGAATGCTTTGAAAGCAAAATAAACTTTTCAGGTTCTTCCTGAAATGATTGAGGAGTATTTTTCATTTGGTGGTTTTAATAACACCACTGTTATAATCACTGAGAAAATGATCAGGAATGCCTCTGGACTGCATTTAATCTCAAAGCAGATTTGGAACTTTGTTGTGAGTTTGTGGTGTTGGATGTGGCACTTCGAGTAAGCAATTGCCACAAACTCAAATGGCTGTCATTTCTTCTGTAGTATTTGTACTCAGTGTAATATGATTTTATAGCATTGATACTGGTGGAATGGAGATGTCACTGATCCCTGCTTATAAATCTTGACATCCTCCATGTTTTTACAGATAAACTTATTTCAAATTATCCCCTCTATTGCAGCAGACTAAATCTTGAATTGCTTTTCATTTATACCATTTGAATCTTGACAGTTTATCAGAATATGCATGTGAGAATCAGTAAAAGATGCAAACATTGTTGGTGTATTTTATTCTTATAACCTTGATCATTGATAACTCCACATATTGGATATTTTGTAAGCTTCATGGTGACTAAGAAGGCGTATGTGGAACTTAAAAATATTACATTGCAAGTGCTATTAGAGTTCAACAAACATATAAGGTTAAATACAACCCACAATTTTATTTAGTTCTTAAAATAGCAGTCTCAAAAGTATCTGTTGATTAGTTAACTGACTTCTGCAAATAAAGTGCTCACTCAAATGAATTTAATTGACTGTTGCCTAAGTGTTAAGCTGTCTTAAAGTACTCATCCCATAAAAGTGTTTTTAAATACCCCTGAGCAGGAAGTCTGTTGAAAGCAAAAGAATGGAAGCTGGTATGTTCACAGGGGGTGGGTATCATTGCAGGAGATCAAAATAGGGAGGTGTTTGCCTAGTGACAGCAACCAAGGAGAAGGTTTAGGGATGAAGTATGGAGAGTTAAATGAAAGGAGGCATGCCAGAACCCAGGGTGAAGTGGGAGAGCTTACAAAAGATTGAATAGAGATGCGGAAGGATCTCTAGTGCGGTGGGATATCATGGAAATTGAGGAAGCAGTTCAAGAAAAGGGAGAGGTGGAAGAAGAGGATGTCTGAGGAAAAGCCAATGAGGCTTGTGAATAGGAAGCCTTGAATTACTGGAATGTAGGGCTTTAAGGGGGGAAGAAAATATATGAAAGTCCATAATACTTTGATAAAACTGAATTATCCTTACTTACATGTACGTATGTATACAGTTGACCCTAGCACAATATGGGTATTAGTGTGACTGAACGGACAGTTCAGTAACTGAACTGTCTGCTTTCCTGGTGCAGTAAAGCCAAATATCCACAGCAAGGCTTTGTGGTGGGAGAAAGGAGAGTGTTTATTTGCAGGCAGCCATGCAAGGAGCATTGGGCACTTCACGCTTAAGACCTGACCTCCTCAGTGGCTGATAAGCAAGAGTTTTTAAAGGTAGCAATAAATTTCAGAAAAGCAGAAGTTACAGGCCAGATCGTAAATCAGTACATGCAGGTTATACATTGGTTTTGGCCTAGAAAGCTGAGTATCTTGAAGCAAGAAGAGAGGGAGGTTACAGTCCCTCTCCTAGATGGATTCTGGCTCTCTGATTTGAATTTGGTTAGGAAAGTGAATCCTTGTCTAAAAACTTAGAGTCAGCAGAAAGGAGTGTTAAGTTCTGGCCTGTGGGCATGACTTCCTCTGGGGCTCTCAGGAAGAAATTTAGAACAAGAAAGTGTGATCAGGGTTCCAGTCCTCATTTCCCCCTTATCTGAGGTTGTATGCCAGAGGGTCCATTTGATAAAGGTCCCTGTTACTGAAAAACAGCTCAGGGACATACATTAAGATGTTGCCTTTAATTTCTAGAGGAGCCAGACATATTGTGACTCCAACTTCCTTGGCTATTGTTTTAAGCTATTACTATGTTCTTACTTACCAAGTTGCTCATTTACTTCTCAGGGCTAGCTCAGTGCCTGGAATTTCCCTTGCAGGAACTCAAGACTTTTCTTTACTTCTATTCTTGGAAAGGCTTGTCAGGACCCTAAGAAGGATCTCCGCCCCATCTCAGTAGGTGTGTTGACTATCCCTCCAAGTAGGAAAATCTCCGTATAAGTTTTTAACTCCCCCAAAACTTAACTATTATACTTAGAGCCAACTGTTGACCAGAAGTCTTACCAATGAAATAGTTAACACATATCTGGTGTGTTATATGTATCATATCCTGTATTCTTACAGTAAAGTAAGCTAGAAAAAAGACAATGTTATTAAGAAAATCATAAGGAAGAGAAAATGTAGTTACTATTCATTAAGTGGAAGTGGATCATCCTAAAGGTCTTCATGCTGATCATGTTCACATTGAGTAGACTGGGGAGGAAGAAGAAGAGGAGGTGTTGCTCTTGCTGTCTCAGGGGTGGCAGAGGCAAAAGAAAATTCATGCAAATGTGGACTTGTGCAATTGAAAGCTGTGTAGTTCAGAAGTCAACTGTATTTACATGCATATCTGTGTGCATTCCAGGCCTGCTCATGTTGTAGATGACACAGTGGGGTCTAGAGCATTTCAGGTACTTGTTCAAAGTCACATAGCTTGTTATTGACTCAGTAGGGCTTTTTCTAGACTGCCAGAATTTTCATCTAGGGGGTTTTCAGCTGCACTAAGCTGTTTATCAGTATGGTGTGTTG